GAAGATTTCTGATAAAGAAGAAAGCACGTGAAGCCATATAGATCAATCACGCATTGGTTGCCAACACGAGCGAAAGAATAGTACCTCTACAGGTATCAAAGAACTTCCTATAATTGTCTACATTCACCTTCCATAGCAAGGCAGACATACAGAGCCTTTCTTCATCTCCAAAAATGTTTTCCCAACGAAACCTCTCGAGTCATTCAGCGTTCCTTATTCCTTGGGGTACCTCTACAAGCCAATGACTCCAAAGCAAAAGTATCTCATATCACCAGGGTAGAAAGCAAGAGTATCTCATATCATGCGTTCTACCTGTCATTTCCTTTGTCCTTGTTCTTACCTACAAAGACAAGGATAAAGAAAACAATATGCCGGAACTTCCACTCAAACTCGGGTAAGGAACCGACTGCTTGGAACCCTTCCCTGATTGCCTACCTAGCACTGCTCTCGAGTAATCGTTTCCCACTGCTGCTGTACTTTCAAAGAAACTGCCACATCTGCTTGGAGGACAGATAAGGCAAGTGAAAATGATACCTTGCAGCATGTGGAGACAAGGTGCAGAAGGAACAAGCAGAGAAGAATGCGGTCTGCACGATCAACTCAGCAGAAGGAGTCCGAACTGAGGAACTCGAGAAGCTGCCACATCTGCCTAAAGAAACAAGCAGAGAAGAATGCAGCATGCACAGTCAACTCAGCAGAAAGAGTCTGAGATGAAGAACTCGAGAAGATGCCGCATCTGCCCGAGGACGGTGAACTCGTTTTGACCCTCAAATTCTTGGGTCGACTTACTAGGCGTTGTGGGCTGCACGTGCCGATTCACCACCCTTGAATCGAATCCTTAAAGATCAAGTCACCAACTGGAAGAAGAGTTCATCAATCTTGAAGATCATACCGTTGACCAAACTGCTTAGGTGTGAATTAGAAAGATTGAACAAAGAAACAGGTTGTCACCTTTACCTCGTGCCTGCTTGCCATGTGTTCGAGTCAACTTTCAAGAATCAAGCCTCAACGGCCCTTGAAGAAGTCTCCAGCCAAATTCAAGATCAAGCCTCGACGGCCCTTGAGGAAATCACAAGTCCGATTCAAGATTAAGTGTCTACCACCCTTGAATCAAAAACCTAGTTCAAGAACAAGCCTCAACGGCCCTTGAAGAAATCTCCAGCCCAATTCAAGATCAAGCCTCGACGGCCCTTGGATCGACATCTACAGTAAGGGACTTCAAAACGCATCTCCTACACGTGACAAGCACATGTATACGACGTGCCTTGAAGTGGGGGCATTTGTAGACATCGAAATTTCGGTAAATAAATGTTGACCGGTAAATCAAAGTGTCAACGCTCATGTATTACATAAATTTTACACGTAACGTGTGACTCAACGAAAATTGAAATGAGTTGGAAAAGTCATCAAATAGGACACGTGTCAACACCTGGCAGAAACGACTTATTTCATCTGGAATATTATATTCAAAATTAGGCCTTGGAAAATTCTATAAATACAAGCCCATTTCATTCATTTGAAAAAAAGACCAATTCATATTAGACCTTGAAGCTCTGAAGCTCTGAAACGCCGAAGCTCTCAAGCATCCAGATTCCCGAAGAATCAAGAAAGTGTTCTTCATTCTTCGTTCATCGTTCTTCCAAGATCAAGCCCCGACGGCCCTTGGATCAACCATCCACCAATTCAAGATCAAGCCCCGACGGCCCTTGAAGAAAGCACCATCGTTCATCATCCGTTCATCCAAGATCAAGCCCCAACGGCCCTTTGGATCAACAACGTCGACAAATCCACACATCCAACCGTTCTTCAAGATCAAGCCGAAAAGCCCTTGAAGATCCGTTCATCACTGTTCTTCAAGATCAAGCCCAAAAGCCCTTGGAAATCCGTTCATCACTGTTCTTCAAAGATCAAGCCCAAAAGCCCCTTTGAAGATCCGCTCAAATCCACCTTCAAGATCAAGTCCACGGCCCTTGAAGAACGTTCATCCTTAGATCAAGCCCAACGGCCCTTTGGATCAATCACACATCGACAAATACACACCTTACGGAGATCGAATCAGAGGATCAAAATAGAGAGAGATTGTAACCCAAAATCATCAAATACTTAATATTTGTTTGTGCGCGTTTGTTCTTGTCTCTTTCGTTTCAGGAATTTTCCGTGTTCACAACCACAAAAGAAAAAGGCAATGCAAGAACCCCAAAAGAAAAGCAAAAGGAAAAAAAAAACAAAAAAAAAAAAAAACTTTGCGCGACGTAGGTACACCTACGTCGTGAAAAACAACTTTGCGCAATGTAGATCTACCTATGTCGCGCAAAGTTTTTTTTTTTTTTTTTTTTTTTTGTGGCCCTTTTGCTTATGAGTACAAAATAAATAAATTAAAATCTACTTAGTAAATATATACACCGTTGAACTTGATGGGAAACGCATTGTACGAAATTAGTTTCAACGATCCAACCATCAAACTTGTTTGCATATACTTCGAGATCACATACGCTAAAAATCGTAAAAAGAAAACATTCAAAGATCAAGTAATGGGACAAAACTTTTCGACGGTTACAAACGAAAAAACACAATTTAACGATAGTGTTAACTCCGATTTTGATGATTTTTTTACAACTACACTCCTTGATCCTATATGAATACAATGAACTAATTCAATGGTCAATTTAAAATATTTACACTAGTGGATATCACAAAATCTTATATTATACTTAAAGAAAGTATAAATAAACTAAGTATTAGTGAATCTATTGTTTTGATGCGATACACATTATACAAAGCTAGTTTCAACGATCCAACCGTCAAACTTGTTTGTATATGCTTTGAGATCGCATATGCCAACAATCGCAAAAAAATAAACATTTAGTTATCAAGTAATGGGGCAAACCTTTTCAACAGCTATAAACGAAAAATCACGATTTAACTGTTATTTTAACTCCGATTTTAATGATTTTTTACAGCTACACTATTTAATCCTATATGAATACAATGAACTAATTCGATCGTCAATTTAAAACATATACACAAGTGGATACCACAAAAGAAAAAGGCAATGCAAGAACCCCAAAAGAAAAGCAAAAGGAAAAAAAAAAAAAAAAAAAAACAAACTTTGCGCGACGTAGGTACATCTGCCTTGCGCAAAACAGCTTTGCGCGATTCATGTGTACCTACGTTGCGCAAAGTTTTTTTTCCCCCTTTTGCTTATGAGTACAAAATAAATAAATTAAAATCTACTTAGTAAATATATATACCATTGAACTTGATAGGAAACGCATTGTACGAAATTAGTTTCAACGATCCAACCGTCAAACTTGTTTGTATATATTTTTAGATTGCATACGCCAAAAATGCCAAAAAAACAAACATTCAAAGATCAAGTAACGGGACAAAACTTTTCAACGGTTATAAACAAATAATCATGATTTAACGGTTATTTTAACTCTGATTTTAATGATTTATTACAGCTACACTCCTTGACCCTATATGAATACAACGAACTGATTCGATTGTCAATTTAAAATATTTACACAAGTGGATACCACAAAATCTTATGTTATACTTGATGAAATTACAAATAAACTCTTAAGTTTTAGGGAATCTATCGTTTTAATGGGATACGCATTGTACAAAGTTTTTCACAACTAAAATTCTCAAAAGTTTTTCACATTTTTTTAATCATGAATAACCCTCCAACTCACATTAAGAAATTGAAACAATTGACAAGCCCCAATTTTCATAGAACAAAGAATGAACACATCTATCACTACATTAATCATGAATTTAATTTCCGCATATTTTGATCTCAACAGGTAATTAGTCAATCACAAACAAACAAAAAAGATCAAAATTTTCAATATATTGGGTAATATTAAGCAAAATTTCAATACAATCATATATAAAAAATGGAAGAATACCAAAATTTCAAAACAGTTTTGCGTGACTCAGGATTCACCTACATCGCGCAAAACAGCTTTGTGCGATGTAGGTGCACCCTGTGTCGCGCAAAGTTGGGAAAAAAGCTGTAAAACATTCTTGGTTTGGCGCCAAAATCTTGTGCGATGCACTAAACGTCGCGCAAACAGTCTTTGCGTGATGAAGATTGGCGTCGTGCAAAACGGTTTTACGCGACGCCAGTCTTTGTCGCGCAAAGTGTCGTTGCGCAAAGACTGTTTGCGCGACGAAATTTGCTGCGTCGCGCAAGTTGCCGTTGCGCAAACATGTTTTTGTACTAGTGAGTGCACTTCTCTATCGGTGATTGCTTTTGGAACAGTGAGTCACCATTTTACTTTTTGTTATTTACCTATCCCTGCCATGGAAAAGTACTTTTTCACCGCGGGTTAGCTGCCCTCTACTCCTTGTCACTTCCATCATTGGCTTGATGCCTATTAGTTGCCAAATAACCATATTTAAATCCACCCTGGGCTGCTGCCTTCACCAGCCCAAAACAAATAAGCTTTTTGCACACCTGGGCTTTAATTGAATTGAGCCCAATATTAATTATCCCCCCGAACAATCCAACAAGTAAATTTCCTCGTTCTCTCGTATACCTTTTTTGTTTTTGAGGTGTTTATTTATTTGGCCGAAAAAGAAAAATGCATTGATAGTTAGAAATAGTTTTTAGCTTAAATGACTAATAAGACAATATACCCGAGGTTCTATTTTCATGGCTCCTCCTTTAGTTCGCTTCTATAAATTAAATAGACATAATTAAGGACCCATCTCATTAATTTATTTTGTGCTTGGGAAATTTGAACCAGTAAACACACATATGGATTGACGTTGAAGCCAAAGTAACTGTGCTGGTATACAGAACATAGCCAGAGGTGGCCTAAGTTATTTAAATGTGTATTGCACTAAAATCCAACTGCTTGTTGCCCAACTTTGGTGATACACTCGGTGTTAGGGTTTCATTTTGTCTCCACTATCTCCTCCCCTAAGCCCATCTCCCTATTTAATCCGTTTCACCATTTGCTTCCATATCAACTCATGCATCAATATCTCTCTATATATCTTAAATGTTAGTACAAGTACCATACTACCATGGCTAAACTCGGTCTTTTCTCCCGGACCGATCTCCAGAACTTAGCTCTCTTACAACAAAATCAACACCAAACCCAGTTATCAAGCCCTAATTTGGTCCCCAAAGCCTGGATGTGGAACCCTAAGCCAGTTCAAGAACCCGAAGATGACTCATGGGAGGTGAGAGCCTTCGCGGAGGACACTGGTAATGTAATGGGCACCACATGGCCTCCAAGGTCTTACACTTGCACATTTTGTAGAAGAGAATTCCGATCCGCCCAAGCCCTAGGCGGCCACATGAATGTGCACCGCCGCGACCGGGCCCGCCTCCACCAATCCCATCCTCAGATGAACCCGGCAGCAATCTCATCAGCTTCCACTACCTCACTCATAATCCCAACTCAAGAATTTGTGAATTCAAATGGTGGATTATCCCTTGTTTACCAATTGCCAAGCCCTAGTAGTATAAATGGTGCATCCTTCAATACTGCGACAACTTGGATGAGCTCAAGTAGCACAAATGGTCATGGTGTTGAGTCATTACCATCCATTCTTCATTCAGTTTCACCCAATATTCCACCCCATGACTACTTAGTGTCAGTTGTGCCACCAGCTGGAAGAAGCAATTCTAATTCCCAATATTGTCACTCAAACAAATCATCAGCTCATGATGATCCGGAACCCTCAACGTCCGGAACAGAAAATGGCAATTTTGAAGAGCTTGATTTAGAGCTTCGGCTTGGGCATGGTCGACCGGCAATACCATCTTGATTCTTCGACAAACAAGAAATTAAGGGACGATTGATATACAAGCTTATTAAGGCGGGTGTGTCTGCAGCTAGAAGTTGGAGACAATTCATATATATATATATATATATATATATATATTCATGTGTATGTCCGTAAGAGTAAGACGCAGTATACCCTACCTAGCTAGCTTTCACAGAAACCTGTTTGAGATTATTTATTTATTTTGTATGATTATTTTCTTGTTTGATATAACTAATTATTCTTATGGTTTGAGAGTTTTGAAGCTCGTTACAAATGTAAGAGAAGAATTAAGAAGCCACTAAAGGCATATAATACCTTAATTATAACTAATAAATTCAAAGAAAATCAAGGTTTTATAATTAATTCTGGAATAAATTTGTATATTTTATATTTTAATGAAACAAAATGTTTTTAGTAGTAGTGATGGGGTGAGATAACAGCTTGCAGTGCAGTGTCATTTTCTGTTACAGATTTCTGGGTAAAGACTAAGGGGTCTCTGTTATGCTGCTGTCTCTGCGCATACATTTCCGTGGGGATTATTTCTATGTACGTGTATTAGGGCTTAAACTCCGCCGTGTAAGTTTATCTTACATTGCCGGTCCCAAGCCCGGATAAAGGAGGAGGGGGAGGGCGTCAGGTAGTCGACAGCCGGCACTCCATGATTACGTCGAATCCTTATGAAAATGAATCCAGAACGAAATCGCGCTAAAGCTAGGGCGTCACCCGTAAGTGGCGCGCTGTGTGGCTCGAGCACAGTGATAAATGAGCAAGGGTCGCTGTATCTCCATCGGCACCCGGATGCAGTGTTAAATGAGCAAGGGGGCTATAGAAACTTCTTTTCGAACGACTCCACTCAAAGTTGTTTGGGAGTATATGCTCCTATCAACTTTACACGGGACACACAAAAGAAGTACTTTGATCCTATTAGACGGGGAAGGGTGAAGAAGCTAGGACAGAAGGGTAGAGTTCAAGAGAGCAAAATGCGTTTAGGAACGTGGAATATAGGAACCTTGACGGGAAAATCTATGGAAGTAGTAGAAGTTATGGTGAGGAGAAGGATAAATATTATGTGCCTACAAGAAACTAAGTGGGTTGGTTGTAAGGCAAAGGATCTAGAAAACTCAGGGTTTAAACTATGGTATTCGGGCACAAATAGAACGAGAAACGGTGTTGGCATCATCGTGGACAAGACCTTGACACAAGATGTTGTAGATGTCAAGAGGGTAGGAGATAGAATCATGGCAATCAGGATTGTAATAGGACAAGAACTTATCAATGTGATTAGTGCGTACGCACCTCAAGTAGGGTTGGATACGAGTTTGAAGGAGAAATTTTGGGAAGACCTTGGAGACTTGGTGCAAGGAATTGCTCAGACGGAGAAGTTATTTATAAGAGGAGATTTAAATGGACACGTGGGCAGGGAGACAGGCAACTATGGAGGTTTTCATGGTGGCCATGGTTTTGGGGAGAGAAACGAGGATGGGGAAGCTATCTTGGATTTTGCAATGGCATATGATCTCTTCTTAGCCAACACCTTTTTTAAGAAGAGAGAAGAACATGTGATCACCTACAAGAGTGGGTCGTCAAAAACACAAATAGATTTTCTTCTAATGAGGAAAGGGTATCGTATAACTTGTAAGGATTGCAAAGTTATACCAGGAGAGAGCGTGGCTAATCAACATCGCTTGTTGGTGATGGATGTACATATCAAAAGAGTGAGAAAAAAGAACAAGACTTGGAAGTGCCCAAGGACTAGATGGTGGAATCTAAAAAAAGAAAAACAAGCCATTTTCAAAGAGAAAGTAATCACCCAGTGTGTGTGGGATAGAGAGGGGGAAGCTAACCAAATGTGGGATTCCATGGCTAGTTGTATCCGAAAAGTAGCAAAAGAGGTATTAGGAGAGTCCAAGGGCTTTGCCCCACACCAAAAGGAATCTTGGTGGTGGAATGAGGAGGTACAAACAAAGGTGAAGGGTAAGAAGGAATGTTGTAAAGCCTTATACAAGGATAAGACCGATGAAAATGGTGAAAGGTATAGAAAAGCGAAGCAAGAGGTGAAGAAAGCTGTGAGAGAAGCTAAGTTAGCGGCTTATGACGATATGTATAAGCGACTAGATACCAAAGAAGGAGAGTTGGATATCTATAAACTAGCTAGAGCAAGGGAAAAGAAGACAAGGGACCTAAACCAAGTGAGGTGCATCAAGGATGAGGATGGAAAGGTTCTTGCTACAGAGAACGCGGTTAAAGACAGATGGAAAAGTTATTTTCATAATCTTTTCAATGAAGGACATGAAAAGAGTGCTTCTTTAGGGGAGTTGAGTAACTCAGAAGAGTGTAGAAACTGCTCTTTTTATCGTAGAATCCGGAAGGAAGAAGTGATTGTAGCTTTGAAGAAGATGAAGCATAGAAAAGCAGTAGGCCCAGACGATATACCAATCGAAGTGTGGAAAGTTTTGGGAGAGACAGGTATAATATGGCTCACTGACCTTTTCAATAGGATTTTGAAAACGAAGAAGATGCCAAATGAGTGGTGAACGAGCACTTTGGTGCCTATCTACAAGAATAAGGGCGATGTACAAAATTGCATGAACTATAGGGGTATTAAGCTAATGAGTCATACAATGAAGCTCTGGGAGAGAGTCATTGAGCATAGATTGAGGCAAGAGACACGGGTTTCGGACAACCAATTCGGGTTCATGCCAGGGCGCTCAACCATGGAGGCAATCTATCTCTTACGAAGATTGATGGAAAGATATAGAGATGGGAAAAAAGATTTACACATGGTCTTTATAGATTTGGAAAAAGCGTATGATAGGGTCCCAAGAGACATTCTTTAGAGGATTTTAGAGAAGAAAAGAGTACGAGTAGCATATATCCAAGCTATACAGGATATGTATGAAGGAGCAAAGACTGCCGTAAGAACTCATGAAGGACAAACCGAAAGATTTCCCATAACTGTAGGATTACATCAAGGCTCATCCTTAAGTCCTTACCTTTTTGCGTTGGTAATGGATGAGTTAACAGGACATATTCAAGATGATATTTCTTGGTGTATACTTTTCGCAGACGATATAGTGTTGATAGATGAAACTCAGGAAGGGGTAAATGCAAAGCTTAACCTTTGGAGAGAAGTGTTGGAATCTAAAGGTCTTCGCCTAAGCCGATCAAAGACAGAATATATGGAGTGCAAGTTCAGTGCAAATGGAGGCCAAAACGAGTTAGGGGTGAGGATCGGAGATCAAGAAATACCAAAGAGCGACCGTTTTCGTTACCTAGGATCTATCTTGCAAAAGAACGGAGAATTAGATGGAGATCTCAACCATAGAATACAAGCTGGATGGATGAAGTGGAAGAGTGCATCCGGCGTGTTGTGTGACCGCAGTATGCCACTGAAGCTCAAGGGAAAATTTTATAGGACGACATTAAGGCCGGCGATGCTGTATGGCACAGAATGTTGGGCGGTGAAGCATCAACACGTACACAAAATGGGTGTAGCGGAGATGAGGATGCTTCGTTGGATGTGTGGGCACACGAGAAAGGATAAGATTAGGAATGAGGATATCCGGGGTAAAGTAGGAGTAGCCGAAATTGAAGGAAAGATGAGAGAAAATCGGTTACGGTGGTTTGGACATGTGCAAAGAAGGCCTACTGACGCTCCGATTAGAAGATGCAACTATGGGACAGAGGTTCAGGGCCGAAGGGGTAGAGGAAGACCTAGGAAAACTTTGGAAGAGACCCTAAGAAAAGACTTAGAGTACTTGGATCTAACGGAGGACATGACACAGGACAGAACACAATGGCGTTCTAAGATTCATATAGCCGATCCCACTCAGTGACTTGGATTTTCCAAGTCTCCAACCGAGAAGTTTTCCTCACTCGGGAAATTAAGGGAACACTACCTCAATCTACATGGTCCACTCACAAAGTTTCAACAGACAAGCTTCAACATACAAGCTTCAACAAAAGAAAATTCAAAGAACTTAGCGAAGAAGGCTTTGGTGTATTTAACACAATACGTTGAAATGAAGGAAAGCTTATTTATTGATATCCCCGATAAGTTACAAATATGTACATATACTTGAGTCAAAATAAACAAACAAGAGGGAGCCTTCACAAATGTTGCTTAGGAGAAGTCTCAGCAGTCGGTAGAGCCCCAGAAAGAGAAGGCACTGGAGGGGGATCATTCAGAGCCTCAGTACTGGATAGAACCCTAGAAGGAGGAGGCATCAGAAGTTGATCATTTGGAGCTTCATTACGCGGTACAGCCCCAGAAGACGAAGGCAATAAATGCCTTTGGAACAAACCCACAAATCTCTGATGATCAAGTAAAACCTGACCATCAGATTCCTTCATCTGGTCAAGCTTCCTCTTCATGTTTGTAGCATAGTCATGTGCGAGCCGGTGCAACTGTTTATTCTCATGCTTGAGCCCTCTAATATCCTGTTTGAGACTCATCACTTCAGCCGCCAATGATTCAACTTGGCGGGTTCGAGCAAATAGGCGTTGGGCCATATTAGACACAGAACCTGCACACTGAACACTGAGAGCCAGAGAATCCTTAACAGCCAACTCATCAGACCGTTTGGAAAGTAGTCTGTTATCTTTGGGAGTGAGAAGGTTCCTGGCCACTACCGCAGCGGTCATATCATTCTTCATCACGGAATCCCCAACGGTAAGAGGACCAGTAGGGGAGACGAAGGATGGGCGCCATATGTTGTCTAGAGAAGGCGGGGCTGCCTCTTCAACAAGGTTCAAGTCAAAACGACGGTCGGAGGGGCCAGACATTTTCAAAGGTGTTGAAGAGAGAAGAGGTCGGACAAATCAAGATCTTAGAAGTGCAAGAATGGAGCTTCTACTGGTGGATATTCAAGTGTGCTTTGGAACTTAATGTCAGCCCCTATAAAAATCTGCACTCGACGAAGCTTCAGAAATCGAAGAGGCGCTTGCTCAGAAATCGAAGAGGCGTTTGCTTTCTCAAAAGCTGGGCTGCTCAGAGACCACGAGGGTCGATCTCAGAAATCGAAGAGGCGTTTGCTTTCTCAAAAGCTGGGCTGCTCAAAGACCACGAAGACCGATCTC